TACTCTCTGGTTTGAACAGGTTGCTGGGCTGAAAAAGCAAAATCGCATTCCTGCGCCGTCACTCTCACTCCCGGAAAAGAATTACTGGCATGATTCACAGGCTTCTGCACGAGCTTTCGGAGGCCCTAAACTACCTACCAGACCCCCGAGCAGCCTGTGAACATAAGAAAGCCAGCAAGACCCTAGACATCATAGCCTTCAGCCCAGCATGCTCAGAGGAGTACTAATATATACATACACATACATACTTTACATATATCTTGATATTACCTTACGCTACCTAGTACCTGATCATATCATTCCTAGTGCCTAGTCGATCGAGCTGCAGACACAAAGTGTCCGACATTCACCTAATTGTGCACCTTCGATGTCTTAAAGTCAGCGTCGATGTCAACATCATCCAAAATGACCTCGTTGGTTTTGTGAGCGGCGAGACGCCTCTTCCTCAGGTGACGGGTCTGTCTCTCCGTCTCCCTTGTAATCCACCAGGTCCAGCAGATGGCGAGGATGCATGCGCCTGTCATGCCCATGGCCACCGCGAACGACACTGTATACTCGGGTGCGTACTTGGAGCGAAAGATCTGGGGACCAACAATAGTACCAATCCCGCCAAGGGCGTTTACCCATGCGATAGCAAAGGCCGAGCCCGTTGCCCTGAACGTCGTCTGAAGACGCCATGGCCACATGGTAGCGAACCAGGCCAGCGAGACACCCGCAGCAATCAGCGTAGCAGCATACACGCCTCCGTTGTTCGGGTATGCGACCATAACGCCGTAGCACGCTAAATTAGAGACCAGGTACACCAGTGCCACAAGGGGGTATGGCACAGCCAGCGAGTTAGTTAAGTAACCGCTGACAGCAATGAGGATAATGGCCAGAACTGAGGATGGGATGGTAAGCAGTTGGCTTTCGGCGATGGAACTGCGAGACATCAGTCAGGACTGGACTTTACGGGCATTCGCTACGGCATTTGTTATCACTCACGCGAGTCCCAGACTGGCGACGATTGTCGGCAAGTAGAACGAAAGACCGGTGCTACCAATCGTCTTGGTGGCCCAGATGAACGCGAACCACCAGAGGCGCTGGTCTTTCATAGTGTCCCAGATCTCGCTCGCCTTGAAATTGCTCTCGGAAGAGCGAGGAGCGTTTGGTGGTAGGCGAGCTTGGAGGAATCGCTTTTCCTTGTCGGTAAGCCATTTGGCCTGCGCGGGGACTAGATACCCGAATCGTAAGCAATCGTTAAGACATGTTCGAGGTAGGCGGTCTTACAATCAGGGAAAATGAAAAGAAGCAACACGCCGAAGCCAATTGTAATCACACCCTCAACCAGGAAGAACCTGTAAACCATGTCCAGTTAGCGGTCAATTCAAGGGTTGGAAGCAGCCGACGGGAGGAAAAGCAAACCAACCATTGCCAGCCAGACAAGCCATGTCGCCCGTTCATGCCGCTGAACCCATAGGCCAGAACAGCACTAACAATGTTGGCGAAGAATTCGAATGAGTCTGTTGTTACATCAGTGGCCCGTTCTATTCACAGCCCTGGAACAGTATGAAGAGAAGTATTACGCACAGAAAATCAAGAGTCGAGGAGTCATCTCATCGGCGCGGTACCAGTAGCTCATCTGCAGAATAATACCTGGAAACATGCCAGACTCGGCCTGTTTGGTGGTCAGTATCGTTAATCGTGTAGGCCCACTTCAGTGACAGCTCACAAGACCAAGGAAGAAGCGGGCGGTAAGGAGGCCAGCACTAGATGTAACGGCAGCGTGGCAAGCCAACACAATGCCCCAAGTTACCTATGGAGGTCAGCAAGACGTGCTATTGCCAGGTCCAAGGCAATATGCTCCTCGGTGCGGGGCTTACCATGATGCGCGACTGGAATCGTGATGGGAGCATCTTCTTCACGACCATGTTGGTGGGAATCTCGCAAATCATGAACGGAATCTGTGAATTATGTTGGCTTGACCACTGTTCAGTATATCGGCCTCAAGGCACTCACGTTGTAGATTGTGCTGACCCAGTTATAGTCATCGGCTGTCATTTTCAGCTGCGTCATGATGTTCCGGGGAGTGCCCTTGTTCATGATTCTGGCATTTGCAACCTGCTATACATCAGTTCTGTCGCCACTAATGAGGCGATAGGTGATGCTGACATTGTTTGAATCGACGTTTTTGATCATGAAGATAATAGCGCACAAGATCATCAAGCGGAAGTCGACGCGGCGCAAGAGCTTCTTCTCTTCTTCAGCGGAGAGAAGGGCACGGTCCTTCATGCGCTGCTCATGATTATCCCCAGAGATGTCATCCGCAGCCTCACTGGTGAGGAGGGCGCTCCTTGGCTTGACGCCTGGTTCACCTCTAGTGGTAGCCTCATGGACTGCGGCTTCATTGTCGGTAGCGTGGGCCGCCATGGTGAAAATCCGAAGTGATATGGAAAACGATGTTTGACAGCGTAAGGCATGTCAGCGAACTAGCTGTCGAAGAAAAACGCACCTCCTTTATAGCTGGCCTGCCGCCCGTTGGCAATATCCAATCGAGCTTCTGCTGGCTCTAGATGTCCGGTCCTCAGAGCGTCGCCTCCACAGGTGCTTAAAGGCACAGCAGCCAACGCCCTTCAGCCTGCTATAAAATGCCTCAACTCCAGGGTCATGGGAGTGCTTGCAGTTTCTTGCTTGTGAGTTGATGGGAATACCTCGTCCAGTCCTGTCTAGGGAAACGACCTATCATGTCAGTACCCAAGATCCTGCAAGCCGTCGAGTATCCTGCCCCACACTATGACCCTCATCAACCATTCCGACTGTACAAGCGAGGTACAAGGGCCGTCGTGAGCAGAAAAGGGCAGCCGACTGTACCACGAAATGAGAGTCTCAGCAATGATGTCTCAAGCATCATTCTCCTCTGTTCTGCAAGATATAAGGTAATTAGGCCAGCCATCGTCCCGAATAGCTGGGTGCTAACATCTTGAGCTTCATTGTCTTCATACCTAGGTAGGTCATACTAGACAGACAGAGTTCATTCCGCCTGGATAGTACTCCGTACATGAACAGCGTGTCAGACCCCAGCGAACTGCCTTTGGCTGCCCATATGATCCATTAGTGTCATTTTTGTTCCAGGGTAGATCGACTTGAGTGGACCTAAGTCCCACAAGCCGTTTTGACCAAGTGCTTAGCTTGACTTGCAGGGATCAGCATGGGGCTAAAGTTTAGACTCACGTCCCCACGGTCCCCTACCAGGAGCAGGTACTACAGGACCAGGTACTGTGTAAGTGCCCTCGATAAGGACAGGGTAAAGACGCCGACTCCTCAAGCCGGCAGGTGGACTAGAAACGAGTCTTATTGAATTTTACCCCCTTAGCTTAGCAGTACGTACATAAATCAACCTTGATGGCCCTCGAGACCCCCTCAATCTGACGTCCTTTGGTAACATCACGCCAGCACCGGTTTGGGGTGGTGTCAATGTACACTGAAAAGCTTCTTTACCGTTCAGAAAACAAGAGCATGCGTTGGCGGCCGAACCTTGCAGCGGACTAGATGCCGGACTTCCAGCCCGACACGACTGCGAGTCAGGGCAGCCGCGGGGGCTACCAACGGCCACTTGATCAATTTCCCAATGCCCTCTTATCTCCCCTTGCACACTGTCACAATAGAGTCAATTGACCTTTCGCCACCCCACGAATGAACGGATTCGAACCATTGAGGGTGCCTTATGATACGTACATCAATGCTGGCAGCAACTTGGTTCTGTGCCTGCTTCGATCGACAATATGACTACCTCTACGTGTAAGTCTGCGACGTCAGTGTGAATCGGAACATGGCTAGCCTAGGGAGCGTGGCCGGTATCGATACACCTCAAGCGAGCCTCAAAGCGTGTCAAGAACCCACAAGAGATGAGGTTCCAGCGTGTCTACTCGCCAACAAAGCTTAATGGCATTATGCCGTCCAATTAAGTCAGCAGGAAAAAAGAAATGTCTATTAATTCAATGATAGGCTCGGGTATAGACTTCGGCTCGGTCATTGAAGATGAGAACGACTTTGTCCCTTCCGTAACCGACCTCAGGAAAGTCTGGCTACGAGCAAAACATTCAAATTATCAACAACAAAGTGATTAATTTAGGGAGTTCCTAAACATAGGGAAGTAATGAGTTTCTTAGAAGCCTAGGTTCGACTTCGGCTTTTGACAGGAGTATTGATGCAATAGTCCATGAATAAATACTGTGCCGAAGTGTTCAGAAACTTTGCTTCCGAGAAGGGTGCATGATTGGAAAGTGACTCCGGAAATAATGGAAATAATGAATGTACTGAGAAAACCGGCTGTATCCAAAAAAGAATGGAACTAGCACCAAAACAGGGTCACACTTGTGGGTGTGAGCACGGCTACGGCTTGCGCATTATCGGGCTTAGGCTTCGGCTTCGGGCTCGGGGTCCACTTCTCGTCGGCATATGTGGGGCCGGGTGAAGGTAGCCGGGCCGCATCGAGTGGGGCATTTGGTCTCACCTCAGATAACCCACGAGTATGCGCCCCTTTGATTCGAGTACGGTAAGAAACTGCAGCAACTATTTCCATATTGAAAGTTAGCTGTATAGTGAGTAAACGTGGAGTGACGGCAACCCTTCAGTGAGAATTCCCTATCAAGTAACAAATGGATCGGCTTTGCCGCTACCCAAGACCCTGAAAAAAGGGAAGCCGGGGAATAGAATGGTATATTGCATGTCCATAGTCATTAGTGCAACTTATCCAAGCGACACAATACCCAGTCCGGCATCTGGCTAAGGACATATTGGAGGCAGGCCACTCTTCTGCATTCGATGGTGGTCTAAGTCTTATATGTAGGTCCATCTTGTGGTCCCTCTGCCTACCTATGTGCATGGACCGCGTGTGATGAAATAAAAAGAGCTGGTCCTCCAAGAGACATTCAGACGTTTCCAAGAAATAGAATTCAACAAACATGCCGAATTGCAGCAAAAATATCATGGTCTCGAACGAACCGACGCCAAAACCTGGCATGGAGCTGCTGCCTAGGGGAGTCGTTGTCATTGCGGGAGGTGGACCAATCGGTCTGCTACTTGCGCGAGTTCTCTCCTTCTATGGTGTGAAGTCGAAACTATTCGAACGCAATAAGGCCACCACCAAGTGGCCCAAAATGGACCTGACCAACGCTCGATCAATGGAGATCTTTCACAAGCTGGGCCTCGCAGATGATCTCCGAAAGCAAGGCGTTCCGCCGGAAATCGACCAGAATGTCATAATATCCACTGGGCTCTCTGCCGAAAAGCCTCTCACGCAGTGGGATCTGCCAGGAGTAGAGAAATTCAGAACCCAAATCCAGAACACAAATGACGGCACACAGCCCCAAGAGCCTTGGCAGAGAGTCTCGCAAGCCATCTTTGAGAGATGGCTGAAGAAAATATGCGACAACGATCCTCTTATTGACCTCAACTATGGCTTCAAAGTTGAACACGTTGAAGAGCAAGAGGGCTTCGCACACACGACAATCACAGACGTCAATACCGGAGAGAGAACCGTTGTAAGATCCGACTATGTCGTGGGATGCGACGGCGCCTCTAGTCGAACGCGTACTTCACTTTCGATTCCTCTCGACGGAGGCCCAATGTAAGTTTTGACCAGTCCGTCGATTCCTGTTTAGACTCTAATAAACCTCTCCAGACCCTCTTGTGCCTTGCTGGTTCATTTCAAGTCTCGTGATCTAACGAAACTACACAAACAAGGGAGGTTCTGGCATATCTTCCTCCTCGGCCAGTCAGGCGGATTTGAAGGGGCCATTATCTCACAAGACGAAAAGGATACCTGGACGACCCATCTGTTCCTGCCCCTTGATGCTGAGCCCGAAAAGATCGAATCTCATGATGCAGTCTACCGTGTCCTTGGAGGGCTTTACGAGCCGTACAAGTTCCAGATCGACGAGATTCTGGTGCGCTCCATCTGGAGGCCAAACGTCGCCGTGGCACGCCGCTGGAGAAGCGACGAAGGGCACGTGTTCCTCGCCGGCGACTCGGCACACCAGAACATTCCCACCGGGGGATATGGGATGAACATGGGTATTGGAGATGCCTTCGACCTCGGGTGGAAGCTCGCCTCAGTCATCAACGGTGAGGGCGGGTCAGAGCTCCTCAAGTCGTATGAGCTGGAGCGCAAGCCAGTGGCCCTCAAAAATGTGGAGCGGTCTCATGATCACTTCAAGGTTCACAATGAGTTGCAGACGTTGCTCGGCGGCGGTGATCCGCATCGCGTCGACGCCGACACTGAAGAAGCACGTATTCTCAGACAGCGTGTTCACGAATTCTACCAAAGCCATGATGGGGAAAATAGGGACCTTGGGATAGAGATGGGATACCGGTACAACTCACACATCGTTTTGCACCGGGAAGACGACGGCAGTGAGCCTCCCTCGGATCCGCGTTATTATACGCCGACAACGTGGCCTGGTGGCCGGCCCCCTCATCTTTTTCTCTCCGATGGTACCCCGATATTCGACAAGTTCGGGAAACACTGGTCACTTCTTTGCTTCACCGAAACTAATGTGGGACAATATTATATCGTCCAAGCCGCGAGCGATTTGGGTTTAAGTCTGTCCCTGATCAATCTTTCAGGAGAAGCGCAAGCTAGAGCGTTGTATGAACGAAATCTTCTCTTGATTCGGCCAGACCAGCACGTCGCCTGGAGAGCTCAGGCAGTGGAATCCTCAGCAATCGCAGCTGCGGTCCTGAGTACTGTTTCTGGGCGCATCGTCATGGATATAAGGAAGGCAGTTAGCGAAGACGCAAGCCTTGAATAGAAGTGACTTCTGAACTTTAAGTGAAGGCAGAAGGCATTGCGAACTGGGGTAGCCCAGATGCGAGTAGGCGGATGTTCGGGAACCCCATAGTCTTTCATAGCAAACTTTTGTTCAAGTCGGTTTAGTCATCTTCGGCCGTGTACATTCTTTTTGCCTCAACTATCCTGCCTTAAGGTATGGTGAAGCACATGTTTTTCCTCATGTGTCCTTGACCTAAAATGCCTTCACATCACCGGCACCTTTTCAGTTTATGAGTTGACACGAAATATTCGTCGACTTCTTGCTTGTATCAGTGTTGCGAAAGTTCAACTTGCTTATCGTATAGATCTTTTTCTCCAAGTCTCAAAGTAGTGCAACTATGATGATTGTATTTCATGAAAAACTGTTTATCCAAGTAAAACTCTCTGACGCTCTTCATTGAACTATACATGACTTCAAATTAGACACGGTATCGGATAATCTCAGTTCTTGATCAGACTCTAACTGATCTCAGGTAGCCATAGCTAGATGTTGTCGAAGTTCTCATAGTTGCTGTCCGGCATCCATGTACTGAAGGCCATGCCCTCTGGAACCTGCTTCCATTGCATAGTGACCGGGTTCAGCAGCTGCTTGCACTCCTCAGCGGCGTCTTTGATAATAGCGACTTTCTCCGCAGACCGGGGCTTGATCCGAGCTGGATAATCAGATGGCTGGACAGTGATACCACCAACGAGGTTCTCAATGTCGTACTTCACCGGATTGCCTTGGGCATCCACAGCCGGGGAGAAGTCGAAAGCCCACAAGAGTCTCGACATGCCCAGAAAGAGAGATCTTTCAGCGATGTGGATACCCTGACACAGCCGTCTTCCCGCGCCGAATACAAAGTTGTCACGTTTCTTCGTGTCCCCCATGGCAGATTGATAGAGTGTCGTGTGGTCATCCTTGAAGCGTTCAGGATCAAATACGCGGGGGTTGGGCGAACGCTCTTCATCCATGTGGATTGCCCTGTATTACGTTCAACCATCAGATAAGGAGTTCCAGCGAGATACGACTGAGGAGATTCACTCACCACACATTATTGATAACAGCCGCGCCTTTCGGAATGTTATAACCCATGTAAACGTCGTCCTTGACTGCTGCGTGAGGCACACCAAGGAAGACAGTTGGCATCCACCGCAGGCTCTCCTTGATACAGCAGCGGATATACGGCAGGTCCTGGTAATCGTCGATGGTGGGGAGACGGGCACCGCCAATGACACGATCAATCTCCTCTTGAGCCTTTTTTTGTACTTCTGGCCACACAAGTATGGCCTGGATGAAACCATAGAGAGTTCCTGCTGTCGTATCCGAGCCTGCTTCGAGCAGCGAACCGCTGATATAAGCAGCTGCATCGTCGCTGAAGCCTTCTTTCGTTTGAGCGCGATAGATGTCGTTACAGAAGCAGGGCTGTTGGGTTACTTGTCAGAAAGGGTTCCCTGCATGGATTTCTCAATCCTGAGTTTCGTACTGTGGCACTCACCAGTCCTGTTCCGTCATCAAGCGCTTTCTTTGACATCATCCAATGTCGGAGATAGTTCTGGCTTTCTATCTCATACAACTTTTTGGCGTAAGTGACGTTTGGCGCAATAGAACTAGGTAGGCTTTGGATGAAAGGATATATGTCCGCTAGCTGAGCGCTAGAGCTTCCGGACAACTTCCCCCAGTTCTCAAAGCTCTAGTTCATTAATTGTCAGTATTGGGCACAATTAACTTGTGTAGGACTTTACTGTGATGGGAAGACTCCATTACCTCAAACAGCTGCAAAAGCTTTGGGTCATGATTATCAGTACAGCGATAACCGTATATCATTTGCGTGGAAAGAGAGTAAGTAAATCTCCTGATGTGCTGAAGGAAATCAGAAGGAGTCTCCAAAAGATCTTTCAGAAGAATCTTGTTCTCGAGGTCCTGATAAGGGACGTACGTGACAGCAGCCTTAATGTTCAATATGTTATGTACCATGCGATGAATCATGCGCCAGTTGTCTCCGTATCTCTGCACTTTGTCAGCTGTCTGGTTTCCTTTCGCACCTGTGACAGATATCACTTACCATCACAACAAGGCGGAGATCGCCGCTAGCTACCTTTTGACCGATAAACATATCTGGCCGGTCAGAGTAGTTGCCGCTCCTCTTGTCCAATACTTCTTTGACGGCTGTATCCGAGGATAGAACGATCATCACCTTTGTGCCGAGTATCAATGAGTAAATCGGCCTACCGCACCATTGAGTCAACATTAATACTATGACTTCCCCCGGCTCTTTGTCTGCTTTATTCCTTTGATTATCCTCCGAAAGGGTAAAGATGAAGTATTACCCATATTCTTTGGCCCATTTCTGCAGCTGAAGATGTGGTCTCAATTTCGGCATCTATATCCATACTATTAGTGAGATCGCCGTCTCAGTGTAGTTTATTGGTTCACAAACAAGATGCAGATTGCCTAGTATAGGCAGTGTCGGTGGACCGGGTGGATAGCCGTGTGGCCTAGATCCCACTTTGCTGACTTTCCAAAGAAAGAACAGAACAGTAGCGGCCAGAAGAAGAAGGGATGAACTGGGAGGATTGAACATTGCAAATGCCAAAATGAAATTAGGGTACTGAAATCGTTCTTGTTTCAAGACGAAGGTATATGAATAGTCGAGTTTGAGGGTTTACTCAAATTGGGCCATAAAGAGAATTTCCTTCATTGCCTCTTGATCGCGGCTTGAAGTCACAGATATGCAATATATAAGATCTCCAGCAGTCTCTCCATACAAGTAAATGCTTGAAATTCACCACTACGGGCAACCACGTAATTGGGTGTCATGATTGATTGATCGCGGGGTGCATTAGCTTGCGTCTGGCTAGGGGCATAAAATGATGTAACGAAGGGAGGCAGAACCTAGGGTAAACAACAGTAACCCTCAAGACTTGGCTGAGACAGTGATGGAGTGTGCGATACTCCTAGGGTTGCTATGACCGGGAATTCAGCCGCCGCCCCCAAAAACAGCGAAGCCGAGGCCGACGCCACCCTGTTCTCTTCCATTTCGGGCCCGGACTCGGCCTTCCAAATCGCTCTGATCCAGTTAGAATATTTCAGCACCACAGGTTTAGTCATATCCGCCACAATAGTAAGTTGCCAAAACTAGTGCCATGGTCGATTGAGCGATAGACAGTGAGGAGCTCTTGCACTTCACATTGGTTTATACATGAAGTAACATACTTCAAATTTGAAGTGCATACGTTTGATCAACTAGTCGCAACCAACCCAACCAATTGACTAATGAATAATCGATCAATTGACTGGGAGGTGAAAGTTGGGTCGGTAACGTTGAAGGGGGCGCCGCTTCGGACTTGTGTCTACTGTCCCGGGGTTGTCATTGATCGGGCAGTGGGACAGAACTGGGCAAACATGTCATCGGGCATCATTCTTTCACGAGATGCATATAGACCATGCTTTCGGTCTTACTTGTTAGAAGCTTTTCATAAGTGATGTCTATCAATGCTACATCTTCAAAGGAAACTGTTTGGAGATCAACTCAGCAACAAGTTGACCGGACCGCGAACAAGCGGCTGTTCCACCCGAGGCCCACGGCTTTGTGCCATCTCCAACGTTGAACAAGTTCGGGAAAGGGGTAGTTTGCGGCTGATCATAGCCAGACACAGCACGTTGCGCAGGCCATTCGTCGGCAGTAACGTCGATAGCCAGGATCTTAGCTTCATCAAAACCAGGGAAGTTGACGCGCAGATCCTCAATCAACAAACTCTTTTCTTTCTCCAAGTCGAACGAACCTATCGCCGGTATCGGAACAGATGCTCCGGAGTACAGATGCCATCCTTCGGGGCAGCGATTGAGCTCGGGAGCGCTGAAGTTTCCTGCGTAGACCAAGCGGCGGGTCTTGCTGAACATGGCAAGACAGGGGAAAGTTGCGAGAGGCTTTTGACTTGCAAAGTGAATGGTCAGAATAGCAGCTGGTTTATTCCATCGCTGCAAGGTTTCGGTGTAATCAGCTGGGAGCACATCGGCGCCGGCGAGAAGGGCAGTACCATGTGGCCCGATGCTGCTCACAATAACTTTAGAGGACACTTTGATCTCGCGACCACTTCCGTCTTTGACTATAGCCCCTGATATGCTGCCATCAGGGCCGTTCAATAACTTAGAGACAGTTGAGTTTAGCCAGACCTGGCCACCAGAAGCTTGCACGTGCCGTGCCAAAGGTTTCCAGACCTCAATTGTCCCGCCTGGTGGAAGTCCAATCTTTTTGAAAGAAGTATCCTTTAGGAAGTAGTGCAGGAAGACTTCCGCCAAGACAACATCGCCTCGTGCTGCAAAGATGGATCCGAGAACATTGTCGGCCAAGTCATGGATGGTGCTATTGTGCGTGAATCTGCTGAGCCATGAACGAGTCGACTCGTTCTTCTTGGGACGCAGCCAAGGCAGGCTCCAGAGCATGATGGCGAGCATCCTAGGTCCAGCGTTGCGAAGCAGGCCAAAGATGCCTTCGACAATATTGATATCACGATTCCCCCAACGTATAACAGTTGCTCCGCGACCAGGTTCGTGTAGGTTGAGCTGCAACCCGAGTGCTTGATACGTGGCAGCCACAGCGCCGTCGAACTCAATTACAAGGGCGCCAGTATTGATCAAGAATCCTTCGACTGATCGCGTGGAAGCACGACCGCCAATGCGCTCTTTTGCCTCGACGATGAGCGTGCTATAGCCCTTTTCGGCGAGAAGCGCGGCGGTAGTCACTCCGCTAGCACCAGCCCCTATAACGAGTACATCGAATTGATTACTTGAAGAAGGCGTTTTTGTAAGAGCTGGTACAGCAGGATGGAGGGCTGAGCATATGTTGGCGAACCATCTCTTCGATCTGAGCAGGTGATTTCTTGCGTGTAGCAGGCGGATTGCGGGAGGACGTGAGGCAGTCAAGAGTCGACTCGGAAACGCATAAAACGGCATTTCAAACTATGAGAACAGTTAACGAATGAGTATCTTCCGATGGTTTATCAATTTACGATAGGACGAGGGAGTTCAGGCTTGTGTTATAGATTCGGACTGCCTTGGGCCTGGAGCAATTTATGTTGGAATTTCACATGCTTAACGAACTTTAACAATGCCTGTATCCTCCGAAATCTTCAAGATCTCCGATACGATCCCCTGCAATTATCACCTATGCTTGGCACATCCGGAGTTACTGCAGCGATGGCACTGCTTGACGGGCATCGACCTCGAAGGATTTATTTGGATACTCAACCAGCTGTTCTCGCTGGACCTTGCTCCAATCTGAGAAAATTGACCTGCGTTTCATGCGCACTTTGACACATTGACCTACTATCAGAGGTGACTCGCAGCTGATCTTGCTTGAGCTGATGAAAACTTCCAGAGCACTGCAAGTTGAATCATCGCTGGCATTGCATGGATGTTCAGCGTCAATCCGGGCTCGGGCTCGGCCTCGGGCCCGGAAGATAAACGCTACCGAATTACTTGGTAAGTAGACCATGGGTCTATGGTTGGACAGCGTCAGCCACTTCTCCATAGGAAAAAAAGGCTACACCTTATCCATAAGTTTAGACGGGACATTGCACGGTAAAATTGGAGGGAATCTGTGGGTTCAAGACGTCGCGAGATGGGTTTCCTCCGTCCCGAGCAGTTTCTCGTATCATATGATGGTCTTCACCTCGGCCGAGGGTGTGGGTACACATTTATCGGTGGATATGTCGCGATTGCAGCGAAGACCCAGTTCCTTGTGTACATAAAAGTTCTGGAATTGAATCTTGTTCCGTACATCAACGGCTCATACCTCAGCCCAAGGACGACATTTAATAACGATGAGAGTTGCCGTCATTGGTGGTGGACCGGCTGGCTGTACCGCGGCGTACACCCTGCGGAAGGCCGGTTGCGATGTACATCTTTTCGAGCGCGATAACCGCATCGGCGGACGTACCAGCCAAGTTCTCAAAGAAGGCTTCAATCTCGGAACCGGGGCGCTCTTCTTGATGGGAGGTATCTATCCTCGAACCAACGCCATCCTCAAGGAGCTCGACCACCACAAAGACTTAGTGCCATGGAAGCCTGTCACTCATGTCGTTGACTGGGATCGTCAACGGTACATTGCACGCTTCGACAAGATCACAAGCTTTATTCAACTACCCGTCTTCAACTTGCTCGATAAATTGAGGATCGGAATTAGCATCATCATGCAGTTACTCTCTCCTGGACCAAAATCACTCTTCGATGGTGCTGAACTTGCACGATACGATCATGGCGAGACGTTGGACACTTGGTCTGATCGTGTACTGGGAAAGAAAGGTACCAATTACCTGACTCTTCCGTACATGGGATTTCTCTATGCAGTTCCTCTTCATTGGCAATCCACCCCACTATTTCAAGGTGTCGTCCAGCAGTTCTACAAACTTTCACTGCAGGTACCACCAGAGGGCGTCGGTCAATTCAGCCAGTGGTTAGTGGAGGGTTCACCCGGTCTAGATCTCCATCTATTCTGCCCGGTCAATGCCGTTCGCACACGCGATGCTGGAGGCTACTTTGTCGACGCTGGCGGCAAGTCCTATGAGGTTGACGCCGTGGTGATGGCGCCGGAACCTGCTGTGGCCGCCGATCTCCTGCACGATATCATCCCAATAAAGTCAGCAGCAAAGCTTCGAAACTGCCGCTACTCAGAGTATGCCCACGTGCAGCTCTGCTACAAAAAGAATCCTTGGCCAAACTTCCCGGCGTCCGTGGCGTTGCCGGCAACTGATTTGAGAAAATGGGGCGCCTGCGTGCTACTGAGCCATCGCCATCCAAACTCGGTCCCTGCTGGCGGGGAAGCAGTTGGTGTTTATTTCTACACGCCGCCTCTCGCGGATATGGAAGACGAAGAAATCAAAAATGAAGCATTGATGGCCGTGACCGAGGTTTTTGGTGCTGCGCCTCAGCCTGACTTCATCGAGATATTTCACTACGAGAGGGGTCTCTCACTTTCACCGCCGGGCCATTTTGCAACATTGGACTCACTTCATGCCGAAATGCCTGATGGTATTGTGTTAGCAGGTGACTATTTCGCCCATGCAGGCGTGGAGGCAGCAGTTTTGAGTGGTGAGAGGGCGGCCCATCGGTTATTAGGGGACTGGCCCTCTGAACGCGCATAGTAATACTCAGACTGCGGTTCCAGCTCGTCCATCGCGTGTGACGTAAGAGCCCAGTTCGATATCGAGAATCCTCAAGGAATTCAAATTCCGCCTCGGTTTCGCTTGAGGACGGAGGTTGCGATCCGTGCACCCGTGCTACCTCACGAGGGATATGAATTCCGCGGATCAAAGTCTCACAAGTGCGTGAGGGTTTTCTATGTATTTCGCTATTCTCGGAGTTTATCAAATGCCCTGGTGAACTCCTCGATCTTTCCAAGACATTCAATTCGTGTACATTACAAAATCCGTAGGGAGAATTCTTCTTCTACTGCGACTTCCCGGCCGATTTTCTTGCATCCAATTCTTTGCAACGAACCCTTTCGGCTTCATCGATTATCGACTAGTCGCAAGTCTGTCGTCATTTCTCACTCTAAGCTATCACGCCACCTCTTTCAAGGAATCCAAGGGCCATGTCTCATCTACAATTCTTCGCGTACGAGGGACAGGGGGTTGAAAAGCAGAAAAGGTTCTCCTATAGCCAGGCAGTGCGAATCGGCGATCGCATTGAATGCTCGGGACAAGGTGAGCTCGCCCATCACAACCTTTCCCCAGTGCCTCACCTGTTGCCTGTTCCATCGAAATTACGTCTAACCCTGTTTACTGAAGGCGGTTGGGATCCGATCACTGGAGACTTCGAAAAGGAGATCAACGCCCAAATCGATCTGGCATTCGAGAATGTGGAACGATGCCTTAAGGACGCTGGTGGCAAAGGATGGACCCAAGTCTATCGTGTCAACTCCTATCATGTCCCAATCAACAACGAAGCTCTGGAAGCGATGGTCCGTAACTTTAGGAAGTGGATGCCGGATCATCAACCTCTCTGGACCTGTGTTGGCGTTCCACGTTTGGGAGAAGATGACATGCGCGTGGAAATCGAAGTTGTGGCTCATGTTGGCTGAGGGACATCGTTGCAAATAAGACTTGAAACTTCAAAATATATCTTCTCGTGCCTTCTTATGGTTGGTACGATAGACCTTTCAATGCAAACGTTGAATGTGCATTTCTGCACCTCGTAAACGAAACGGCGGGAGCGCACGAAACTCCCCTCGCCCATGTAGGCATTCAACTTTTCAAAATTGATCGCCGCCGAAGTAGTATCACTTCCTATGTCGGCTTAATTCAAAGAACCTCATCTTGACTTGATATTCCCAGCGTCTCAATCGCTGTCAAGCGTTAAGATTAGGCCAGACTCTGAAATCTCGTTGATAGGAGGTATCTGACGAAGGGGCTAAAAGACCCGGCAATTTCGATTCTTTGATCAAGCATTGAAAGCAAGGCCAACCCTAGGGTAGATAAGCTTTTACATCCCGCAGTACACTGTAAGGCAAGACTCAACTTGATAGTAGATCAGAGCCATGCAATCTAAGGTAGCCATGTTGCAGCTGATAAGGAGTTATCGCTACTGGAATTTAGAGTTTGGCGGATTGTCGCAAAGCCCAAGCTCATAGGCCAGTGAGATAAGAGAGGCCTTTGCCCCCTTAGACGGAATGCGAATTCCTATCTCTTGACGAGACCACCAGAATGATTGATAGACCATTTCCGGAAAGGTCCTCACCAAATCCTATGGCCACCTCCAAATGACCCTGGCTAGAAGGCTGGGTCTATGAGTCTAGTCTATACGTATTGATGGCTCGACTTATTAATTCATGAGGCATGCGCTCACGGCAATGAGACAGTTCGAGTGCAAGGCAGCCCATCAATCTTCGAATTTCCTCATCTCTTAACCAAAATGTTATCAGCCCGCAAAGTTCTCGTGTACAGCATCATCTTCTCGAGCGGTAAGTTCGTCTTGGCAACACGATCGTGCCATTTCTAAGAAGCTACATTAGCAACTATCATCGGGTATGATTCCGGATACTTGAACGGCGTGCTCGGATCCGAGGACTTCATCCGAATCTACGGCGTTAAGCATGGCGTCACCGGAGACGTATACTTGACTCCGTATACTCGGAGCATATTCTCTGCGTTATTCGTCGTTGGAGCTCTTGTAGGATGTCAGCTAGTAGCACCTCTTACCAACCTGAGTAAGTCTTTGGGCAGTTCTAAACTTATGGTGTTGCCAAACTTGCTGATCTTCCGTAGTTGGCCGGCGCGGCAACTTATTCACAGCCTCAATCACCTATGCTGCAGGCGTAGCACTCCAGACCGCTGGACTTGCCCCCGCCGTATTCATCGTGGGCCGTATTCTACTTAGTGTTGCTCTCGGCCTCATCTCTATCACAGTAAGAACTCCGCTTCACACCTCTTGTTAGTGTGAACGACGGCTGATTATCATGATGCAGGTTCCTGCCTATCTCATGGAATGCTCTACGCCGACAAATCGAGGACAATTGATGGCATTCTACACCCAATTCCTCACCACAGGCAACGTGATAGCCTGTGGCATCAGCCTGGCAACTTCCAAGTATAACGATTCCCGAAGTTGGCGTAAGTAAATTGCGAAAATACGATGACCACAAATTGGCAGAGGCTGATCCAGAAGTAGGCATTACGATCGCATTCCAGCTGGTTTTGGCTCTGATCATTTTCACTGGTGTCTTTTTCTGTCCCGAGTCGCCGCTTCTTCTTGCCAAGAAGAACCAGAAATCCGAAGCTCGCCGTGCTCTCGCCATTCTCCGCAACGCAGACGTCAACTCCTTAGAAGTTGACGACGCCATGG